TTTTACAACCGCGGCTCGGTCTCCAAACTGGGGACCAGGGAGGCGAGGGAGGGAGCACGTCCCGGGCTGGACTGGGGAGCCCCTCCCCATTGGGACCCCTACCCCTTCTCCATCCCCTGCGATGGACACAGAGGCGCGGTGTAAGCCGAGGGCTGGTGGGGGGTCCGAGCACACACGCATACAGAGGAGAGGCATCAGGGATGCTCCATCACCCCTGGACATCTGATGTCCCACTGGTCCCCAAATACCCACCCACCTGCTGCTGCTGCTAGGAGAAATGCATTGAAAGGCGGGGGGAAACCCCCTAAAAATCCCTACCTCTGCCCCTCAGCGCCATGGCACACCAGCGACTGTGAGCTGCTTCGCTTTGGTCCCTATCAGTCACTTTTCCCTTATATCCCCCCATCCTGGGATGTGGGGTCCTGTCCCAGCAGCCTGGCTGCAGGGGCAGGGGTTTGGGTGGTGATGAAGGTGACAAGGGGATAACCCCTGGGAAAGGCCCTCCAAGGATGACCGGTCTGTGGTGGGGTTACTCTTTCAGGCCCTGGCATGCTGAGCCAGCCGTCCTGCAAAACTCCAGTTTGCTGTTTATCCACTCAGTTGTGTTATGAAATTTCTGCTAGCCCAGCGGAGCTCGTCAGGGTTCGTGTTCCCAGCTGGGCTCACCCATTGTTTCCTGGTCCTTGGATGGGTTCTTGGGATGGATCAAGAATATTTATCCTGAAGAAGTGGAACATGATGTAAGGGGTGGGTTGTGCTGGTGCCTGAAGGAGAGCCTCAGCTGGGATGCAAGCCTTCTGGGTGCCTGGTGTCCCTTTTCCTCAATCCCCAATTTGGGGAGGGCTTACAGCCCCATGGGCCAAGGACAAATCCACACTCCCGGACTAAAGCACTTCTCCCACAGAGGCAGCAAGCGAGTTCCTTTGGGACCTTTGTCTATAATGAGGAGTTACTCTCCCTTCCTGGCCCTGTAACTTCATTTTGGCCTTGTGGAAAGCAATTGCTGTCCCTACAAGCAAGATACCCATCTGCTGGTCTAATTTCACAGTGTGGATGTGCATGTTTATATCAATAGCTGTCTCTAGAAATGCTCTGGTTTGGATTCTGTTGCCTCCTGTTTCTGCACACAGGCGATACACAAGCACGGCTGCTAACAAGGATAACGTTCCATCTCCCTGCTCCGTCCCAGCGGCTGTTCCGAGTGCTCCATGTGCTGCCTCCTCCACTTTCCGTCTACGCCAAGTACTGGCAGGGAATATCAAGAGATATAGTTAAAAAATAATCCTAATTACCCACTGAAATATCAGCTACCTGGAATCAATGTGGCTGCTGATTTACAACGAACGCTTTTAACAGGCTGGTGCGGTTTGTACCAGCCAAATCTCTCCTTTTGTAAAAGTGCATCGGGAAAGTACCGAGCACCCAAGAATGGGCTGGGTGCTCCCATCATTAAAGGCCTCAGCAGAATATTGCTATAAGCTAATTAATTTAATAAATTTCATTAATTTCTTGGCAAGTTTGTCTCAGCCACATGTGAAGCATTCTCACTAGCGTGGGTAGGCAGCTCTGCCCTCTTCTTTTTCTCATAGGTTTGGGGTTGAGCAAAGAGCTTGTCTCCTGGGATGCAGCCTTGCCTTTCCCCACGCAGAAGTGTGGGTCATTTCTTGTAATGGAGAAAGTAAAAGAAAGTCTTCTTTCTCTCCATGAGGAAAGGGGTCAACCTCTCCCCTCTCTTTTTTAGAACTTTTTGTCCTGGGAGGTTCTACCCTCAGTCCTCACGTGGCTTTTACAGAGCTGGGCACCGACTGCTGGCCCAGAGCTGACCCCCAGCCCTCCCTGGCCTCAGAGCAGGCAGGTTTAGCCCTGCCAGAGGAAGACATCGACCCCATTCCTGCCTCGCCGTGTAGCACACCTATCCAGCACCCCTTTACTCTCCCCATTGCTAGTGCATGGCCCGGGGGATGTGTAAAGTCCCTTTCCTTGTGTGGCATAATGAAATGAATGACCAAAGTATCTCTTCTTGCCTTCACTTCTGCTCCCTGCAAGGTTCTAATCCATATTCCCCTTCAAGCAAAAGCAGAGCCAGAGATGCACCTCTCTCTTCTTGTGCTCCAAAGCCTCCGACCTAAATCCCCGCTGTTTGTTTCTGAACTAGCCGACCTTTTGGCTAAGCTGGGCTCGTTTTAATATATTTTGTATGTGTGTGTCTGTGGCTTAAAAAGGAAAAGAATCATGGAAACCAAGAGACGCTGGATCTCAAATGTTACAGCAAGGCATTTACTTAAAATCTTGCAGGAAAATGTCACCCCAAGTCCTCATGTATTAAAACTGCCTGGACTTTGAGCTGAGGGTCCCACAGGTTGCCTCACTCCCTTTTATGTTGACCCAGGTGTTTTTCATCTTTTCTTTTTCCAGTTGCAATTGGGGACCACTAGGAATTTTTCATATTAATCCTATTCCCGTCTGATTTTGCCGGCTGGGATTTTTCTGAAGGGCAGGGAAAGCAGCAGAGAGAAACCTCAGCAAGAGGTGGGTGCTAAGAGACAGCATCAATGTTTTTCCTACTGAGGTCTGAGCACCCACCCCCATTACCTGTTAGAGCAGGTTCCCGAGTCAGGTAGTGCTGGGCTGATTCAAGCCTTTGAAATAAGTTCCCAGTGAACTCACTAGGAAGGTAAAATCCTGGGGTTAGGGAGGTAAGGAAGGTAACGGTTAGGAAGGTAAAATCCTGGGGAGTACAAGGCTTTTTTAAGGATGCTGCACCTGAAAAACAAGGAAGTGAGGGAGAAAGAGGTGATAGAGAAAGGGACATATATCAGCTTTGTTGATGACAATATTGACTGTATCATTATTTACAGGCATGGAAGCGTGTCCCTTCCTACACTCAACATATTGCAAAATACAGTATTGCTAGTTTGGATGAGCAATAAAAGATTCCCAACGGGTGCATGTTATTTATTGCCTTTGGCTGAAGTGATTTTAGGAGAGTATTTTAAATCAAAACAGTTGATACATGGGATATTTATTGCCTCTGATTTTCATAGCAGAGGAACCTGCTGAGACTCCGCAGTGTGAGCCCATCGGTGTGGGGGTTGGCAAAGCAGACAGACCATACCCAGAGCAGAGCGATGATCACATACCCCAGCATTTGTGTTCCTGGGAAGGTTTAAAAAAAAATAAAAATGGCAACCCAAAAGGCAGAACACACCTGGGATGGTAAGAAAATTACCCTGAAGAAGGATCAGGCTCTGGGAAGGGACAGCTGGGAAATGAGGTCTCCAGACACCTTTTACAGGTCCTGTCTTCTGTGTGCTGCAGGTTCAAATTCAGCCTTTTATTTTGGTAAAACTCCTTTAAAGCAAATGGATGTCCTGGCTGATAGATCCTGGAATGTTTGTCTCAGACAGGAGATATCAACTGCTTTAGTTCAGCAATAAAAGTAGGTTTTGGGTCTCCCAAGTTGTTACTGCAACAAGCCCAAAGCAGATTCCTCATGGCAATAAAGGCACATTTACCTTCATATACGCAATATAAGCGTTCAAGGCATAGATGTTCATGCTCACACTGCACACAGGGTTTCCCTTCGGAAATCCTCTGGTTTAGTCCACGAACAAATATAAAGAGAAGGGACAGAAGAGCCCAAAGGGAGAGTTTGCACTGGCTGCAGCTGGCAGCCTCTGCTGCAGCCCCGAGCAGGGTGCTGGCACCCTCAGAGCACACACAGACGGGCAGTTGCTCTATTTCTAAAGGATTTAATCTGCTTTTGCAGCCCTGGCTCTCCGGAGCCGCAGCAGCTTTGCCAGCGGCGCTTCCAACAGCTCCGCTCAGCGGTGCCGGCTCGGAGCACAGCCCTCGCTGCCGGGGAACGCTCCAGCTCCAGCTCCAGCTCCAGCTCCCAGCTCAGCACCATCCCCTTCCCCTCATACACCGCACCAACATTTTCCAGGAAATCTCAGGATGCACACAGATTAACCTCATTTTCTCTCATCCCCCTAAACAATTTCTGTTGTTCAAAATTTCAGTGTGCCTGGCAATTTTAGAATGAGCATGAAAAAGCAGCCCAGTAAAAATCCCTGGCAGCCAAACACACTTTGCTGCCTTTTCCCAGCGACCTTCCCATAAGTTTGAAACGCTCCCAAATGCTTATTAAATGCCTTGGATTTCAGGAAACACAAAGCACCGGGCATGCTTTGTGCTCTTTCCTAGTGTGAGTCTTTTTATTAAATGTGGGAAATGCCATGGTAGGGCTTTCTCCTTGGCCATATGTCACCAAACAACAGGACATTTGTT